TGAATAAAAAAAAGACAACGTATTACAGTGTCAAAAAAGGGTACAGCATCGTCGTGAAAATCTCATCAGGGGTCGTAGTTGGTCGTTTGGGAGAGAGGTCGTAAGTGGCCCCGGCGGAATTCCTTCAGGGTCGCGAGAGAAATTTTTCACTTGTTGACTTTTCGCGGCATCCTCGTTTCTTGCGTTGTATCCCTTGCTTGTTGGCGGTGCCGCAATAACTATACAACACTATTTTCGATAGCTGGGAAGTTGGGGAAAATCTAGAAAGGCGGTAGGTGGGGTAAGGGGTCGTACCGTAGGAACGATTTTCGGAGGAGCGGGGGGGGGGGGAGGGGAGTGAGCACCATTTCTCCAATCCTGCTGCTGTACCTCGGCCAAAAAGCCAAAAAGTGCAATGAGAAGAATGCATGCTGAATAATATCACTCACCCGAAAGAAGTCTTGTCAGGAACGCTATGAGCAACGGTTCCTCAGCAGCGCAGTACTTGAATGAATTTGTCACACCTTCTGCCCATCGCGTGGGATCTCCTCGACTCAGTTTTTCCTTAATGAAGACTATTGGCATTCCAGTTTCAGCGTTTGGATTTGGAATACAAGTAAAAAGGATTTCTTCCTAACCAGTTCAGGTAGATCGATAGCATCAACTGTTTGAAGGATTTTTGTGACAAACTTTGAAGCGAATTTCCTGAAAGATCAGCAAGCGTGTAGTGTGATTCACTAATCATGAATAAAATCGTGAGTTGGGCTGGCAATTTCTACAAAGGCGATCACTAACCAAAGAGCGACTCCGAATGATGCACTAACTACAGAGCGGGAATACAGGGGGGGGGGGGGCAAAAAAAGACTTTTTTCTTCCTTGACTTTCGAGGCGCTATAAGTTACACTTTATTGAATTCTTATCGGACATTTCTACCACCATATTAAAGAGCATATTAAATACTATCATGATACTCCGCCACAGCCTTCTGGAGGAGCGCCATCGAGAGATTCTGCCACGCGACCGTGAGTGGGTGCCTGAGTTCAGCGAGATCGTTGATTTCTCCGCCACTGTAGACCACCCTATTGAACTCCGCCCGAACCAGGTAATTGATGGGGTTTAGGTCAGGTGACCCGCTTTGATATTCCATCTTCTTCAGGAACTCGAACGCCCTTCCATTCCAAGTAGGCGAGAGTTTTTCCAAACGCCCTTCATTTCATGTGGTGTCACCCAATCCTGTAGCAGTACAAAGTTTCCAAGAAGGTACGGGCGACGAAATGTGGAGGGATATTCTTCTCGAGTTGCTCGATGTAACCGCCAGCGCTCACCTTCAGTCCGGGATCCACAGAAAAACGAATACAGCGTTTTTACATATCCAGTACCCGCTGCGTCCATACATCAAAACCGCTCTTGGACGACTGTGAGTGCAAGATGATGTCCTACGTAGCGACGTTGACGGAGCTGCTCGATGATGGAGGTCTCCAGATCGAGAGTACTGCTCTCCAGGTAGCTATCCATGGGTGACTCCATACTAGAAGTTTCGCAGCTGTTTGGAGGTGACATGAATTTAAAGGTCTTCTCCAGTCAGGCTGCGACTGGAGATGACTTCATTTTTGGTGTACATGAAGGTGATGGGCGAGCGCCAGCTCCGCCTGAGCCAGCTCCTGCTTATAGAGGAACATCTTGGGTATCTTCCGCCCTGGTACTCGTATCCACGTCTCTGTCTGGGCTGCGAAAACTTTGCTGATATGTGACTCGGTCGAAATGACTTTTTTTGCCCCCCCCTGTATATCAGTGGAAGCCCATGCCAGAGACCATCAGGAGACCGAGCTGTTCTGCGTATGCCATACATAAAATCTTCAAAGACAGTCCCCGCACTCAGTCAATTTGTAGGCGACCTTCCTTGTTCATGTATTCGCCCTAGCTCTTTAAGATTACCTCCCTTTCCACATTCCACGGGAAGTAACGAAAGCGCTGCAGCCCTTACGAGTGACAGTTCTGACGCCTTTTGAGTTGTCCCGCCTACAGAAACTTGGATGCTATTTTCTGTCACAAGTTCAGTTTTCGTTTTCTTCTCTGTTAGATGGTGCTAGCATTGGATGGCGCAAAAAACTACTTGGTGAGCCAGAGGCGGCTGTGCACTGCTTTTCTGGAGCAGAACGAGCAAATCCGGTGAACTCTTACAATAAGAATGCCAAGGGACCTTAAAGACGTCTTCCAGGATTTTTCTTCTCTCCCATGGAGAGTAACTTAGCGACAACAGGTTCGCCATGCAACGCAGCTATCCGCTATTACGGGGTATGTTTTTGGAAGGTATGTCTAGAGGTAGAACGCAGATCGCATAGTGACTCCACTGACAGCGCATTTGTAGCGCTTGTTGTCACTGCCCACTGTTGTTATTTCATTGATCTGAATACGTACCTTATTTTCACTAGACCTTTCAAGTTGTACTTCTGTAGAAACGAAAGAAGAACTTTGCATGTGGGAAGAAGGGCTGTATCGCATAGCAAATCTCCCATTCCTGCCACCAAGACAAATCTCGCCATAATCTCATCAGAAGCTGGAAAAGATAATAAAGCGACTCCCTATCATTGAAAGCACGCAAGAGAGGATTTGGAACTGATCTAGCACGGAAATTTGTATTTAGAAGGTAATTTAGAAGGTAACTTACCAATCATTCGAATATCAACAAGGTGGGAGATAACCTCAGAGAAAAATACCAGAAAGTTCTCAGAAGTTGTCATCAGCGACCCAAGTGCGTCTGAAAGTAGAAGTTTTCAAAATGCAGGGA